AAAATACAGGATATAGAAATTGATGGGCGTGTTACTGTCTTCCGGGACCAAACTTAACCATAATTTTCCAGGAGCACCTTTGCAGTCTTTTCTGGAACGGTTGAACCAGATTTCTGGTAAATTTAAATATTGGTGATTGGATTGAGTTCTCTAATCATTGCTGAAATTCCAGAAGCTCTGGGAACATCAGAGAAGAATCATTTGTTGACCAAACCGGGAATTAAGCCCAACATGGTAATCCATTATAGTTGTTACCGGCTGATACTCCGAGAAACATAATCAGTGCCAACGAAATCTAAGAATTTCATCAACTAGTTTCAAATCTAATTATGCAACAATTTCCAAACGTGATCGACTGGCAACTGGTGGTCAGCCATAGCTTCGGAGTAGCGTTAATAACACAACAGAATTTGCAACATGTTTTCATCGGCTGTCTGCTGGTTCAATATCCAGAAGATTCAAGTGGTGGTGAGATTATTTCATGACCATGTTGCCCGGTGGCACTTCTCGTCGCACGAATGATGACATGGTTGGCAAAATGGAGGCGACGGTAGATCGAAGAAGTGGTGAAACGTCGCCTCTACACCAGGGGCTACCACCAGAGCGTAGTGCAACAACAGCAGCAGCATGTGTCCGGAGTTCGGTTCGCGTTTGGCCGGATGTTTATCTATCCTCTTTTCCTGTTTACACTTTCCGAGCGCGAAGAGAGAAAGAATGGCCAACCGAACGTCCGTCGTCATCGTTGTTGAGGGGTTGAAACTTTGCAATCCGATACAATGCTAGAAGGTTTGTTATCCCCATGTTCGATGACTTCAACCATGCGTTTGTTTTGCAAATCCTCCTACATTTGTAGATTATGCTGTTTGGAATATTATTCAGGCCGACTGTTGCTGGAGGCATTCTCCAACTAGCGCGTCCTTGTTGGTGAACGATGGAAGCGTCATTCAATTGAATGATAAGATGGTGAAGTTTCGAGTGTCAGTCCAGGGCTATGAATTTATTGATTGTCATCGATGAGCTAGGCAGACGTGGAGAACGGGAAGGACAAGTTGATTGCCAGAGGAAGTTGTCGATGCTTGCCAACGAATAACGAACGGCGACGATATTGACGGAGACTGGCAGGAAGCCAATAAGCATATTAAAAGTTTTGCTCCACCACCGCCACCACCCTCACCGGTACCTTTGCGTTGGCAGCCTGATCTGACGGCGGCGGCGGCGGAGATGTGTACAAGGATGGGTCGAGTTGAACTTAAGCACCCTGTCTTCCGGTCGGGCTGGAGTTCGATTCTTTTTTGCGATAGTGTGCACACCGTGGAACTTCCCTTCGATGCTTTCCTGTACTTTATGGCACACAAATAAAATTAATGACATCTTTCCTATTTTGATGTGAGTTGTTGGAAGATAATGGCGGGAAAGTTGAGCTTCACAAAAGCTGAAAAAGGGGCGATTTTATCGCAAAACAAATTCAATGAGTTTTTCCGGACAGTCAGTGGGAAAATGTGATTAGATACGAAAACGAGCAAAACATGGAAAAGTTGGAGTAGTTTCTTTTAAATGGCTCCACTTTGAGAATTATATCTCTCTGAGATGGCTTTGTTTTTGGGTTAAGCACCTAGAATTGAATGCGTGCTCGTCAAAATAAGTCCATCATTCCCAAACTTTTCAGCATATCTATAATTTGAAGCAAAGAAAAAGATGAAACAGTTTGGAAACCATCAGGGTCTTTTGAAACATTCCCAGTGTACTCTAAAGAAGCTAATTAAGAAATTCCTCTTCTGCATTTGTTACACTTCACGGCGACATCATTCGAACGGACAACTTTTCCTATCTTTAGTCAAGTGAGGCCACCGCAAAATCAAAGAACTACTGCTACACAAAAGCAGAAAAGTCAACCGCAAAAGGCTAGTTAGTGAAAACACGTCCTCCCCCCGCTGCCAATTCTGTGCTACCGTGGACTTCTCAAGCTGCCCGGAAATGAATCTTCAAAGCCACCGCAAGCTGAAAATTGCACCGCGTAAACTTTTCCAATGAACAACAACCCGCCAAAATCACTGACGACTGCTCGAGATGTACTACCATTGGCACTGTTTCCGCTGCTTTCTCGGTTGCACTTTGACTCATCTTGAGGATTTTTCTCGAGTTGCTTCTGACCCAAAGTTTTATTTTCTTTCTTGTGGAATTTTTCATGTTAACAAAGCAGAGTCAGTAAAAATTGTCTTCATCAGCTTTGGTATTCTCGTTCCGACCACGGTAGTTGTGGTCAGTGTCGTAAGATAAATGTGAAAGTGGCTAGCCGAAGAGCAAAAAAATCAGAAACTTTTCCCAGCATAAGGAAAGGCAGATGGAGGCACATAATGAGATGCGAGATCAGTCTAGTTAGTCATTATCGCGGACAAAACTTGTTGATCAGTCGGAGAGAAGAATGGCGTGATGGATTATTGACACAAAGAACACCGGTTCAAGTAAACTCTCGGCCTATGATTCAAATTTGGGGTAATCAATTTACTTAAGCCATTTTCAATTAAAAATAATAAGTTTCTGCTTGAAAATATGTCAACACGTTGCTTCTATTCTTATTTTCTGCGATTAGAAAAAATAACTTAGAACCAACAAAGTATTGATGACTGGCTGATCATGCAATTTGCTACGAGATCTTCTTATGTTCAGAGAGAAAAAAAAACACTGAAGTGCAACAATGATGATGGTATTTTAAACTAAATATTCAACTTCCTATCTGTGTCACTACAGCAACCAGTGATACCAGATTGCGTTGGGTTGATTCCCTAGATTAGATATAGCAGAGGTGGGAACTTATCTCCGAGTACTCAGATCCTTTAGAGATTCCTATAGAATTATTGTAATAATCTCAAGGTATCTTTAAGGTAAGACTCGTGAACATATTTATTGGTTAATTATGATATCTTGTGACTATCGAAAATTGTAGGGGAAATAGATGCAATGTCGGCCTAAATGCCCCTAATATGGGCCCATACATAAATTCAGCAATCAACTCAATTTGAAAAAAAGCGACCTAAAATATCCATAAGTACCGTCCCAATGACGCGTTCATCTAGATAAAACTAATAAATAGCAAATTTTTAACGATAGGCCCAATCTTAGATCCATAGGCCAACATTAGAGTCTTTTCCCCTAAATTGATATCGAATTTTTTTCCAATCCAAGAACTTAAAAAATCCAATATTATGAAACTGTAGGTAGTAACCCAAGTAATACACAAAACATATTTTTAAATGATATTGAGTCAAGCATGCTCTAGAAATGGATTATAATTGTTCTAGAAAACATCTCGTGGTTTAAAAGAGCTCTGTAAATATTGCCTTGCTGCTTCCCAGATCTTTTCATCCTGCTAGATGATACTTTTTGGCTGTGATCTTTGAAAGTTATATAAATGGACACCTACATCAAAACAAAACACGAAAAGATTCCAAACTGGCTTTACAATGATTCTAATTTTACATTAATTCAACTGACCAAGCTTATGTCATAAAGGACTTGAAATGATAATTCAGCTGCCGTTTCTAGTACTTTTCAAAACATCTTTACGATGAAACAAACGCATGTGCTCTATAAAATTATTTTCCTTAAGGTGAAAGTGGATCAGTTTAGAATGACTCACTTCATCGATTTTTTTACAACACAGCGCTTAATCGAAAAAACTCTTCCGTGCCAAATTTAAAAAATAAACTAAAGTTGCTATCGCTAGCAATTTTTAAAAGATTTATTTAATGTTTACATTTTCTGAAAACCATTGTCTAAGTTCAATTTTAGGACCACAATCATAGTGGTTGCGAACTTTGCTCATCAACTACACACATATTTCGTATGAAAGCTCATATTTCACTCCCATACTCCCATACCTGTAAAATGCATTATTTCACCCACCGTTGCCATTGCTAGATGATTTTTTTTAATCAAAAGGTTCCTCAATTTTCACATGTTGTTTTACAAGTATTTGAGAATATTCTGCGAAAATTTCAGAATATCTTATGAAGGTATTCAGATATATCTTGGTATTTTTAAAGATAATTAGATAATTCCATGAACTTCGGCAGAACTTCCCTGAACTTCGGCAGAACTTTCCTGAATTTCAGCAGGAGTTCTCTGAACTTTGACAGGCCTTCCCTGAATGACGGCAGGACTTTTCTGAGGTTCGGCAGGCCTTCCCTGAACTTCGGCATGAAGTCCCTGAACTTCATCAGGACTTCCCTAATTTCCAAGAATTGAAATGAGAGTACTTCCCTGAACTTCAACAGCCCTTCCCTGAACTTCGGCAGACCTTCCTTGAGCTTCGGTAGAACTTCTCTGAACTTCGGCAGAACTTCTTTGAACTTCGGTAGAACTTCTCTGAACTTCGGTAGAACTTCTCTGAACTTTGAGCTTCGGTAGGCGATTTCTTTAGAATGGCTTTCTCAATCTAGGGTAATCCAAACAGTCAGTTTTGAATTTCCCTGTTTGGATAACCCTAGACTGATAAAGCCATATAAAATAAATCTCCATACGTACCAGTCGAAAAATCTTATAAATCACTTCGGCAGAATTTCCCTGAACATAGGTAGGACTTCCCTGAAGTTCAGCAAAACTTCCTGTTCGGATCAAAGAAAAACAAAACCGTTTTTTTTTGTAAATCAACCGTAAATAAAGTTGATCAAAAATTTTAGTTATTGTTCCTCCTGCAAACAACCTTTCTTCTACCTAGACCGCTCTGAAATGTTCTTTCCGCCTATCTGTGAGTCGTCTGCTTGCCGTTCCGTGTTTTGTAACCTCCACTGACCTAAATTTGTCCACAAACTTTCTACAAAATGCCCAAAGCACAGAATACTAAAAAAACTCACTTTTAAGCACTTTCTAATCGATACTGTATTGTTTGTGATTTTCTACCTTCCGTTCTTTGACAGATTATCTTCTATTCATCTATCTATCCTCCTCTCTTCAATCCGTCACTTCATCTGTCATACTACTTACTACCTCATCGTCCAAATTCACTGCAGCGATGGAGGAGGGCAACGGCCAGTGTTGCCAGAACATTCCCCGGCCCGTAACTCTGTCCGGGAAGCCACATCCGGCTCAGGGTTACCCTCTGCTATCTCCATCACGGCCAGTTTCGCTGTCGCTCGTTTGTACCTTCCGGCATTGGTACGCACCCATGCTTGACGGACCCTGCCGTCGCCGGATACGATGATCTCTTCCACCATTCCGCGGATCCAGCACTTCCGGTTGGCACCCTCCACGACGTAAACTAAATCTCCTGCTTGCAACGGTCTTGCCTCACCGAACCACTTCGTTCTTTGGTTCAACGACGGCACATACTCCTTAATCCACCGCTCCCACATCACGCTGGTCAACTGCTGCGAACGCGGCAGTTTCGCTGTCGCTCGTTTGTACCTTCCGGCATTGGTACGCACCCATGCTTGACGGACCCTGCCGTCGCCGGATACGATGATCTCTTCCACCATTCCGCGGATCCAGCACTTCCGGTTGGCACCCTCCACGACGTAAACTAAATCTCCTGCTTGCAACGGTCTTGCCTCACCGAACCACTTCGTTCTTTGGTTCAACGACGGCACATACTCCTTAATCCACCGCTCCCACATCACGCTGGCCAACTGCTGCGAACGCTGAAACGCATCCCGAAGGGCCACTGCCGGATGGGGAGGTGGACAGATACTACCAGGCTGGTTCGCTGACGCTCCCCGCAAGAAATGATTCGGGGTAAGCGCTTCTGCTTCGTCGGACTGCTGCGACACGTAGGTGAGCGGACGGGAGTTGATAATGTCCTCCGCTTCAACGATGGCTGTCTGCAGTATCTCGTCCGTTAGTCGCCTTCCATCATCAAGCGCTGTCAGCGCTTCCTTCACTGAGCGGACTAAGCGCTCCCAGACGCCTCCCATGTGAGGTGCGGCGGGGGGATTGAACGTCCACTTCGTTCTCGCGTTCGTTAGCTGGTCTGCACAGTCATCTCTAATGCCCTGTACAGCCTCCACCACTTCCTTACTAGCTCCACGTAGGTTTGTCCCGTTGTCCGAGAAGAATTCGATCGGCCAGCCCCGGCGACCAATAAACCGATATATCGCCATCAAACACGACTGGGTGGTCAGCCCATGTGCCACTTCCAAATGAACCGCACGTGTTACCATACAGGTAAACAGCGCAATCCACCTCTTCTCTGATCTACGTCCTACGGTCACATCGAACGGTCCCATATAATCGACCCCGACGTAGCTGAAAGCACGTAGATTCGGTGTGACCCGCTGTACTGGCAGCGGAGCCATCCTAGGAACTTCAGGACGACAACGATTCACCTTGCACCATACGCAGGACGCTGATACCTTCCTGACTACTGCATCTATGTGCGGGATGTAATACATCTGCCGCAACTCGTTCTTCACTGCTTGACGGTACCCGTGGGCACTCTTCTCATGGTAGTGCTGAACTATCAGCCTCGTGATCCGATGGTCATCCGGCAGAATCACCGGAAATCGCAGATCGAATGGCAGAAATTCCGCTCGCTCCACTCTACCCTCCATCCGGATCAGTCCATTCTCGTCGATCAGCGGAGTCAGCTTGTATAGCGGACTAGACTTTTCGATAGTCATCCACTGGCTCACCGGACGATCCTTGTTTCTCGTTAACACTTTCAGTTCGTCGATGAAGCTCTCCGACTGCGCCACTTTCAGCAGACACTGCTCCGCTTTCTCGTACTCCTTTTGCTGCAACGGAACTCTGACCGATGCAATGGTTCTCGACTTCCGTGCTTTCTTTTGTCCGCTTGTCGCTCTTAGCGTCTCAATCGGCAGCTTTTCAATCCTTCGCTTACAGTTCGACACGAAACGGAACAAGCACGCCATCGTTCGGACCAACACTGTCCAATTCGAGAAACGGTTTACGTCCACAAAAACCGCAGGCACCTTCACGTCATGTAATAGGAGGTGAATCCGGAGCTCCTCCATCGTGTTCGCTGGTGGCATTTCCTTTTCTGGCCACTCCTGCTCACTCTTGTACAAAAACGCTGGTCCTCGCGCCCACGTGCTGTCAGTATGCATTTCGGGTTCCTTGCCCCACTTCGTTAGTTGGTCTGCCACGTTTAGTCTTGACGGCACCCAACGCCAGTCCGTCAACTTCGTTAGGCTGAGTATCTCGCCGATCCGAAACCCGACGAACTGTTTATACCTTCGCTGGTCAGATCGAATCCATGAGAGCACTACGTTTGCGTCGATCCAATACACCACCCGGTCAATTGTAAAGCTATGACTCTCGAACACCATTCGTGATAGACGTGCTCCTAAAACGGCCGCTAGAAGCTCCAGTCGCGGTATTGAGATCTGTTTTAACGGTGCCACTTTGGCACGACTCATGACCAGCGCACACTGCACTTTACCTCGTACAGTTGCCCGAAAATACGCCACGCTTCCGTACGCCGCCTCGCCTGCATCAGCGAATACATGCAGCTGTATGTCCGTAACTTCATCTGATCTGGCATTTCCGAAATAACTCCGCGGTAGCTGGAACGATCCGATGTTCTTCATCATTTGTATCCATCGCCGCCATTTTTCGAAGGAAATCTGATTGATTTTCGTATCCCAATCACAGCCGGTCCGCCAGAGATCTTGGATCAGCATTTTTCCAAGTATAGTAACCGGAGTGAGGAATCCCACTGGGTCGAATTGCGCCATCACGTAACTGAGGATAATCCGCTTCGTAGGATACTCTTCGCCACCGATAACCATAAAGGATGCCGCTTTCGACATAGTTGCGAAACAGAATACGTCTTCCATCGGCTTCCAAACTATGCCCAGCACATGCTCATACTCGGCGTCTTTATCCCGGGAAAAATGAACTGCTCCATTTGCACTGCGATCTTCGAGTTCCTCTAGGAATGCCTCCGAGTTAGACACCCAGTTTCGTATATGGAATCCACCCTGCGAGTGGATGTACTTCACCTCCTTGGCCCTTCGTATCGCTTCTTCGACGGTATCTACGCTGTCATAGTAATCGTTCACATAATGTTTCTTAATGATCGCTGCCGCTGCTTCTGGATACTGCTCTGCGAACTGTCCCGCGTTCAGATTTTTTACATATTGGGCGGAGCAAGGCGAACACGTGGCGCCGAACGTTGCCACGTCCATCACGTATCCTTGAGGTGCTCCACTTTCATCCGTCCCGAACAGAAATCGTAGTGCTTGCTTGTCTTCACACCGAATATTCATCTGGTGGTACATTTCCTGAATGTCGCCTCCGAATGCAATTCGACCTTCCCGGAAACAGCAAACAACTTTCGGAAGGGGAACCAACATGTCCGGACCTTTCACCAATTCCGAGTTCAACGACACTCCTCCAACTGATGCAGCCGCATCCCACACCATGCGCACTTTACCAGGTTTCTTCGGATTTAGCACCACATTCAACGGAAGATACCACACCACCGAGCTTGGAGTATCTGCTAGTTCTTCTGCAGTTATCTTGTGTGCATAGCCCTTGGTCTGATAGTCCTCAATCTGCTGACATACCTTCTGTTTCAACGCAGGATCTTTCCCAAGCTTTCGCTCAAGCGCTCGCATCCTTCGAACGGCCATCGGGTAGCTGTCGGGAAATCGCCGTTCATCTTCACGCCACAATAGGCCCGTTTCGAAACGATTACCTACCCTTTTTGTCGTCGCTTGAAGGATCTCGCGAGCCCTTTTCTCCTCAATTGGTTCTGGGGGTGCGTATGATGCTGCTGCAGTTTCATCCAGCACGTACTGATTTCGGATCATGTCATGCAGTTCCTGGTTACTCACTGGTGTGACACAATGCAGATTCAGGTAAGTATGGACACGCGGCTTCCGTTTCTCCGATCCGTAAATCGTCCATCCGATTTTCGACCGCACAGCGATTGGTTCGTTCGGTTCCCCGACCCGTGACTCCAACGGCGCGAACAGATGGAGATTGTCCAATCCGATTAGAATCGTTGGAAGTCCAGACGGAAAATCTCTCACCGGCACTCCAACAAGATGCGGATAACGGTTCACCATCTCAGCGTATCGTACATTCTGTTGTGGCAACTGCAACTCGGACACCGTTCGTGTGTTGAACAACGAAAACTTCTCCTTGGAGCCCTTCGCCGACATCATCATCTCTACACTACGCGATTCGTTCTCAAAACGGTTGATGTTTCCGGTCCACGTGACTATCAGTGGTTCAAGCGTTCCTTCTGCCTTCAGCCGTTTGGCCACCCCATTGTCCACCAACGTAGCAGACGACCCTTCGTCCAGAAATGCAACAGTGTCGTACTGTCACTTACCGACATATAGCGTCACCGACATCATCCGGAAAATCACCGTGCAGTCTGATTTGGCTTTCTGCAATTGAACAGATTCTTCCACCCGATGCAATAGAGGATGGTGATTGCCTTGGCAGTTCCGCGCCATACACCGGATTTTCGAAAAACAACGATTTCCACCGTGCTTGTTAAGACAGACTCCACACAGTTTCTGCTTGTCCACTTCCCTTAGTCGTTGCGCAATGTTCATCTGCTTGAACTCTTCGCAGCTCTTGATCATGTGATCCGTCCGTTTACAAATCCAGCAAGGACGGCTGACCACCTCTCTGCGTAGTTCTTCGCTCTGCTTCTGCTCAGAGTCGTGCACATGCACAAACTCCTTCTTTCTAGGATTCTCTCGCCCATGCGACGCTCGCTCGTTCACCGACAGCGTAGAAAACTCCGTCACCTCGGACACGTCGGATACTATTTCAGTCATGAAATCCGTGAACATCCTCAGCAGACTATCTTCCTTTCCTCGCTTGTACCGCACCCAATCCAGTTTGTAACTCGGTGGTAACTTGTCAACCAACTCCTGTACCAGCATCGGGTTATTAAGATGATCGTTGAGTCGCGCAGCCTCAAGATGGTCGCACAACTGCTTCACCGTAATCCCAAATTTAACGAACATCTCCAGTCGATCAGCTCTCGGCGCTGGAGCGTTCCTCACTTTCGTCAGCAGCGACTTCAGCAGCTTCTCCGGCCTTCCGAATAGATTCCGTAGGTCACAAATCACGTTCGGAACGGAATTCGGCAGAACGAGCCGACTCCTCACTGCTTCGAGCGCGTCACCTTGCAAACAGTCCTGCAGTCGCTTCAAGTTCTCCAGGTTTGAGAACCCACATGCTTCCGTCGTATATTCGAAGCTGCTAATAAACAGCGGCCAAACTTCCGGTTCTCCACGAAATTTTGGAAGGTGATGCGAAATCGCTTTTCTAGCGGCCAGCTGATCCCTCGAGATTCGACCGCCGGTTCGCCCCGACCCGTCACCAGCTCCGTTACCACGCACACTGCCAGGTCGCTTGCTGCTCGCACGATCTTCCGACGAGTCGCTGCTTCCACAATCTTCTGACGAGTCGCTGCTCGCACGGTCTTCCGACGAGTCGCGGATTTGGCCCTCATCACTTGATTCGGCCTCCCGATCTTTAGCAGGCACCTCCTTCATCTTCTTCTGCTTATCGGTTTTTCTAGAACCCGACTCCATTCCATGTCGGTCCTCCCTTTTCGGGTACGCTCCTCGAGAATCCGTACCCGCTGGCTTTTCGGCTATCTTCTTCTGTTTCTGCAATTCCAGCTGCCCTTTCTGCTCCGGCTGCCTTTTCTGCTCCGGACCGTCCTTCGAAGATCCACCAACAGCGCCATATTGATCCTTCAGCGCTTTAATTCTATTGATGCTGCTGTTGACCTGCAGCCGGATTGCCTCCCGTTCCTTCAAAAACTTCTGCTCCGCAGCCAGTTGAGCCTGCAACATTCTCTGCTCGTAGTCCAACTGCTGCATCTCTATTTCTCGCCGGGCCTGGGATTCCAGTTCAAGCATCTCCCGTTCCTGCTTCAGCTTTTCTTCGTTCCACGCCTTCTGCCGAGCGAGTAACTTCTTCCGCACTTCCATTTGCTTCGCAAAGGCCTTCTCCTTGGCTAACTGTTCCTCTTCCAACTGCTTTTCAACTGGATCAACATCGGAACCAGCTCCCTGATCAGACCCTCCATCGCTCTTTTGGCCGGACTTCTTGCTACCTCGCTTCTTGCCTCCTGCGTCTGGAATCTTCAACTGCTGAACACTCGTTGGGACACACTGTGGGCAATACCAATTGGATTTCGCTACCTCCTGGTCAACACCCGCGCAAGAAAAATGAGCCCAATTTTCACACTTTCCGCATTGGACCCAATCTACGTCCTCCGACGTCGACTCTGACATGGAGCAAAACAAACATTTCTCGTCCTTGGAAGGTAAAAAGGCCATTCCGAAGTGCTTCGAAATAAAATTTTTGATTTTGTTCGGATCAAAGAAAAACAAAACCGTTTTTTTGTAAATCAACCGTAAATAAAGTTGATCAAAAATTTTAGTTATTGTTCCTCCTGCAAACAACCTTTCTTCTACCTAGACCGCTCTGAAATGTTCTTTCCGCCTATCTGTGAGTCGTCTGCTTGCCGTTCCGTGTTTTGTAACCTCCACTGACCTAAATTTGTCCACAAACTTTCTACAAAATGCCCAAAGCACAGAATACTAAAAAAACTCACTTTTAAGCACTTTCTAATCGATACTGTATTGTTTGTGATTTTCTACCTTCCGTTCTTTGACAGATTATCTTCTATTCATCTATCTATCCTCCTCTCTTCAATCCGTCCCTTCATCTGTCATACTACTTACTACCTCATCGTCCAAATTCACTGCAGCGATGGAGGAGGGCAACGGCCAGTGTTGCCAGAACACTTCCCTAAACTTCGGCAGAACTTCCCTGAACTTCGACAGAACTTCTCTAAATTTTTGTAGAACTTCCCTAAACTTCAACAGGACTTCCCTGAACTTCGGCAAGACTTCCCTGAGCATTAGCAGGACTTTCCTGAACTTGGAATCTTTGAATTGAAGTTGTCATTTCAGTTGTAGAATAATAATAATAATAATATTGTGTTTACGAATGAAGTCAAAATTTCGATAATTCTCATTTTCCTAATTTGCAATGCTTGTTGGTATTGGTGCATTTTGAAGTTGGGTGTGATTCAAACGAGTGTGGATTCAGTATCAACGGAAAAGCATTAACTTTCATCTTAACGATTTTAAACGAAATGATTGACGAGAACATGATAGATAATAAGCCTAAGTTAGTAATCTTTTGGAATGAATAGAATGTTTGGCTGAAAATCAATATTTGGCAAAGTTGTAGCTTAAAATTTTTTCCATTAGAATAGCCATAGAAATGTTTAACAGTACAATCTGTAAGAAGGATAGAAGACTACGAAGAAAAAGTTTGATTTATCCAAGTAATTCTCATATAAACTTCAGATAGTTTGTGCCCAGTCAGTTTCTTATCAAATCAGTTCAAACCTTAGGAGACTAATCAAGACCCGATTTGGAACACTGTGGAGCGAAAATGTCAAATTTTGCATCAGTCTAGTGATCAGTCATGAGTCAAAACTAAAAAAAAAGTCAAAGTGTAAGTGTAAGCCAAATACCTGAGTGTAAGGACAATCAAACTTTGCCTGTGTGGACCTTGGCTCGTCACTTGACCAATATGATCTAATAATTTAATACTCATGTGACTTGATGGAACATTTGCTTCACGTCTGATTCTGATCACTTTCCCGAAGGCACCCGGAAGATATCCGGGAGTTTCTTGTAATTAAATTTTTACGGCATCTGATGTGTCACAAGATGGCTTTTGAGTCATGGTCGAGATTTGGTTACATCCTCGAAGGTACTTTGATCATGTTTGTCCAATGTGATCCTGAGATTTAAATATGTTTGCCAATGATATTGATTTTGAATTCTTGTGTAATTTTTATGTGCCACATAATGGGATTTGTCCCATTTAAAATTCTAGACGCTTTCCCCAGGTTCTCGGAACTTATCTGAAAAGGGCAAACATGATTCTGGTCACTTGACCTGTCTACCATGATTTCTTTTCTAAATTTGCAAGTGATTTTATGTTATGATGGAGTTTGGCCCAAATATGAGAAGAGTTCCAAGTGAACCGTGAATAGGATTCAAAATAAATTGTAATGCAAATTCATACGAATTTCTGAACTTAATCCCTAAGGAATTCTGAAGAGGACTCCAAGGAAATGCAAAGAAGAATTCCAAAGGAATTCGAAGGATAATTTCAAGCAGTTTCAGGGAAAAAAAAATCAGAAAAATAATTCCATGGGAATTTTCAGAGAATACTTCAGGAATATGCTAAAAGGGGGGTAACAGTTACATCGGAAAATAAATTCTGGAAAACTTCAAAGGAACTCGAAAAAAATTTCCAGGAGCCTTCTGACTTGAATGCTTAATAACTTGTAGTGAGAAATCTATGGAATAAGTTCCTTCAGTGCAAGCAAATTCTTAGGGAACATTCAAAGAGAGTTTTGAAAATTCTGAAAATAATTCCAAAGGATTTGTTGCTGTGGAGCATTTCAAGGTAATTCTGTAAAAAAATTCCTTAGGAATTGAATTCCAAGGATAATTCCAACGAAATTTTAAGAAATATAAAATGGGAATTGCAATTCCGGTGATAATTTTTGTAAATTGAAAGAAGAGCTCCAAGATAATTGCGAGCAGCCCTTGAAAGAATATAAGGATAATTACCCCATTTCCGGCCTATAAAGCACAACCCGCACTTAGTCTTTCTGAATCTAGCGCAGTTTGGCACCAAACGGAATGTTTTCATTACTGATGGCTTCTGAATGCTCCAAGTGAATTTTCCAGAGAAATCTCCAGGAAAGCCCTAGGTAATACTGCATACATTATTAGTAATTTTAAAGCATTGCAGATTGAATTCAAAGAGTATTCTACAAATGATTTTCAAGAGAATTATGGAGCAAATTTTAAACACCACAAAGAGGTCTAGGATGAAATCTTTGGGAATTCTAAGATAATTCATGCAAATTTTTGTGAAATGACCGATGAAATTCCGTACCACGATGATTACAACATAGATTTTTTTTATTCGAGATATTGGATAAAAATTGATAATCAAGATCAAGGATTTGGATAAATTTACTAAGTAATAAATTTTGAGATTTCAAAATAATTATTTTTTAAGATCATGGATTACGAAAACTCGTCAAGTCTCAGATAATTTTATTTTAAAATATTCCGGACATGGAGAAATCACC